GAATACAGATCGAGGGAGTGAGGAGAGATAAACAGTGAGGCCAGAGGTGCTGCGGGATGGGGCGGGGCAGGGTGGGGCTTACTCTGGTCCACTGCCTCTCCTTGTCCAGCAGGATAATAACCAGCTTGGGGTGCATCTGGTACCCATCCTCGCTGAAGGACAGGTTACGGCCCTCGAATGTCACGTTCATGAGGTACCTGAACAAGGCAGCCGAAGAGAGCCAGCGTTAGAAACGGCACGTCCGTACGGCTCGCTTACCGCGTACATGACGTGCTGATCCCGCGCTTGATGCCAGACACTACATGAGCATTCTGTGAGCGTTCCTCTCATCCCCCCCCCCCCCCGCTGTCTCCTCCTCTGTCTCTGTGGGAAACTGTTTCCATAGCAACACTCTACTTCAAAAACATGCATACAACATACAAATAAATAAGGAAATTAAGCCGGCAAGTGCATGCTCCTTGCTTAAAGGGGTCAGGTGTACTGTGCCCCCCCCCCATATGGCTCACTGTAAAACAGCACAGTATAATTCAGCTGAGGACTCCATGCTGACGGATTCACGTCACACTACCCACAGCCCCTCCCGCTGACGGACCTCAGTGCTTCCCGTACAGTAGCAGTCCACAAGCGTGTGCTTCGTTACAGCCCCTGCAACGTGGAACATTCTACCAAAAAACGGGCTGCCGTTTACAAAAGAGGAGCACCATGGACAGCTGTTGCCAGGGCAACAGGATGTGGCGAAGCTGTGATTACAGGTGAACATCTTGGACGTTTTTACTTGAAGTGCCTGCGGCATCACTTACGTGTGCCAGTACTGTACCTACAGCCGCCGACCTTCGCTAAGTACGGAGCACTACACGCGTGTTGCCATGGTACCCACAACCACTGCGATATCCAAACGGGCTGCTGTGTTGCCATGGTAACTCTAACCTCACAGAGAGAGCAGCAGGAAGAAAAAGGTAGACCTTTTTTTTAAACTGTGGTTGCTGCTCCCTCTCTGTTCAACTGTACTTTTATGTCTAAAGAAGCATACGGCTGCATCCTGCTACGGTTTTCCGCTCTCATACACGTTCCCACACGGACAAGCTAAATAGGCGTGTAACTACCTGTTCCCTCCCGGTATTTGGCAAATAACGAAATAAAGCGTGAATAAGTATGGGACATTAACGCGCACATCCACACACGTTTGCACACACACATAGCCGCATAAAATATTGACTGGATGTTTTCAAAAGACGAGCAACAATATTAATTAGAAATAAATTAAACTCAGATGCAATTAGTCAAAGGTGGTAATAGGGGGAGTGTTTGTGCCCAGCATCCGTGGAAATGAGATACTCGTCGCCTGCACTGTCTCGCTACTCGGGAACGCGCAGCGGAGGCAGCGGGGGGGCGTGGGAGGAGGCGAGGGGGGACTTGTACGTTTGCAAGCCGGACGCTGGCNGGGGGGGGGGGGGGGGGGACTTGTACGTTTGCAAGCCGGACGCTGGCATCTACCAGACACCGTGTTAAGCTGAAAGACGGAGGTGAGAACAGGGCAGTTAACTGTGTTAATGGAAACACTGCAAGACGATGGGAAGTGGCCAAAGGGGGGGAGGGGTGTGGAAACTGATGGGGGGGTGGGGGGGTGGTTATTAGGGGCCTGGGACCTGTGGGCTGTTTGTGCTGCTCTGTAGGAACATCTAAGCATGAGTGAGGACTGGGAGTGATAGATGTGGCACCGTTAATAACGAATCTAAGACGAGAAGGGGGTTAGGGTCCAGAACAGAGGCATCTGCGGGCACCTTCAACGATGACAGTCCGCTTACTGCCTTTAACAGTGATTACTCACTGCCTTAGGAAATTTATTTTACACCTGGACACGCACAGTACCGCTTACGTCTGCTGTTTGGGGGGAGTGTTTACGGGCGACAAAGGTCCAAATTAAGACAAAGTAGCTAGACAGTATTTTATGTTCCTAACAGGTCAGTCATGACGGCCTGAAAACAGATACTGCTATTCTGAAAGCACATTATGTTTTTATATATATGTTTAAAAATTTATTTAAAAATCACGACAATAAAATTCTTATTTGACTGCTGTTTTCCTACATCCGTATATTCTTGTTTATTTGTTGGTTCACTTCAAGAATATGCTTTTACACGGGCCAATAAGAAAAACGTAAAGGTTAGCGTGATAAGGCTACGAAACAGGAGGCTAATCACATTAAGTGCTAAACTGCACTTAATTGCCTTCCTGAGACTGCAAACGTGTTTAATTGGAGGGCACGGTGTAAGAGGTCCAGTGCATAAATGCATGAATTTAATTAAGAATCGGTTGCATTAACCTAAGAAACATGACACCTAAATGACAGAAACGGAATCAAATACAAGGAAAGCAAAGCAAAACGTACAGAAACAGGCGAAGAAACACAGGCTGAAATTAGTTGAAAAGTACAGCCCAGCAATGTGGCTGTTTAGCCCCTCCCTTCCAGTACCGGGTGGAACTGCAGGGAATGGTCAAGGTGGGAGGCCCACAAAGGCTCCTACGACTCACACGAGGCATCATTACAGTAAGGACCTAGAAAAGATGCCATGAAAGGGACGGGCTTTTAGATGAACGTCCATGAATGGAACTTCAGTCTTCCTAGGAGACAGTGGCTTTCATACCAATACAGCTCAGGCTCAGAAAACCAAATATGCCAGTCAGGTGCACAGTGGCGACGTCCTCCGTCTCCAATGGCGACAGGATGGTTAAAACGCTGCGCATCGTGGCACATCACCGGCATCAGTAGCTTTTTTTGTCTCACTAGGGTTGCCTGGGAAACGCGACGCAATCGCATCACCTGAGCACTTCGTTAGGGTTGCCAGTTCCCTTCTTGTCCGGGGCTCCGTGGCACTCAGACTTCAGAAGGGTGTGTGGTCCCCTGTCGAGCATCATGGTGGAGGTCGCCATGGCGATGACAGCCACCCCGTCACGAACCCGGGCCTCCAGGGTGTAGTCCCACTCATCGTATGACACAGAGATCAGACCTGGGGTGAGACGGAGTCAGAGGGAGAAGTGATGTTATACAGTTGATGTTAGACATGGATTGAATAGCAGCACAGACAAAATAACAGCTTAGAAAACACAGAACCCCCCCCCCCCACCCACCCCACCCGCAGTTTGGGGAAGGAACTTGGTCAGAAAGCGAGAATGAGAGCGCTGTCGGCAGAACCGACAGCATCAGATGTACGTCCTCCGCGGCACTAAAACTCCCAGCCCAAACCCTTAAAATAGCGAGGGTTCTATCAGAACTACATACACATCCCATCTGAGCTTTGAAATTTGAAATGCAGAACTAAGACACCGTAACAAGCAGAGACCACTACGAGCTGGAAAACGTCATCATGTAAGAGGTGTCACGTGACAGGCGTCATGTGACTGGCCACCTTGTCTACACCAGCTGTGGGGGCGGGCAGTCTCTGCAAGACGCCACATTTCACGGGTATGGAGTCTTCTCCCATCATGCACTGTAGTCTGTTTGGTACAACGACAAAGGAATGTGAACGGAATGTGAAAGGATTCCGCACGACAAAGGAATGTGAACGGAAAGGTTGCCAGCGGAGAGTCGGAGGGCGACAGCACCTTTGCTCTGAACACAATTCATCCACTAAGCAAGGAAATAAGAACTCCGCCATTATTACCAGGCGGGATGGGAGATGCGAGTGGCCGACACCCAGATGGATTTGCTCTGCGGTTCTGCGTCTCACAGCGTGATAAAACATGGAGGGGGGAGGGGGGAGAAGGAGGGGGGGGCCACGCTGGTGCACAGCTGCTTTATGTAATTCAAGAGATGAATCAGGAGAATTACCTAGAGGCTCGAAAGCTGTAAATCTGACTGCTGTGTCGCACTACAGCACGGAAGCGGGACCTCTGCTCCGCCCCCAGCTCACACTCATCACAATACTCCCCCACAACCCCCCCGCCCCCCCCCCAGCCATGATACATTATGTTCCTGAACCCAGATCCTTTTTAATAGCCAGAAACCCCCTCCCCGCCAGAGTCAACTCTTCCACCAACCAGATCGAACCACAATCCCGCATTTATGGGGGACAAAGAAAGCGAGTCTTTGAATTCCACATTCAGCCACGCAGGAGACCATAAAGTATCTGCCAGGTCACCCTCCCCGGGACCCTGGTGTACCCGTAGGGAGCTCCGTGGGCACGTTGTCGGCATCCCCGGCTACCAGCGACGGCACGATCCAGGTGTAGCCATATCCCGTGAGGCCCACAGAGTGGGCGACCCCAAAGATGGTGGTTGCCTCCTCCTTGGTGCAGTAGAGCAGGATGACTGGGCTCTGCAGCTTCTTCAGCTGGTTCTGGATCTTGGAGTCGCCGTCGTCCACTGACATGTCCAGCAGCAGCACCTCCTCCAGCTCCCAGCCCACGAAGCTGTTGTCGATGGTGCTGCGGATCTGTGGGGGAGGGGGGGAGCAGCTGTTTGAGCACCGGCCCAAAGGAGCCCACTCTACGTCACGCCGGCAGCAGTGGGGACCAGCCGCGGCCCGGAAACCCCGCAGGTCGGCACGCTTCAAAAGCAGGAGCGGGGAGGCGTGCTGGGGAACACAACCAGCCGCCTGCACTGAGCGGCCCAGGGGAAGAGCTTCATAGGATGCCCTATCTCATGGGCTTCATAGGATGCCCTATCTCATGGGCTTCATAGGAGGCCCTATTCTCATGGGCTTCATAGGAGGCCCTATTCTCATGGGCTTCATAGGAGGCCCTATTCTCATGGGCTTCATAGGAGGCCCTATCTCATGGGCTTCATAGGAGGCCCTATCTCATGGGGACTGAGGGGCTCTCTGAGGCAGGAGGGAAAGGACGACAACACACACACACACACACACACACAGACCTGTAATGATATCTTTGCCAGGACTCTACATTCATTTCTATGGGAAAAATGTTAATGGTAACTATGACAACCTTAACCCCTAACCCAACCCTAACCATAACCATAAGTAACTAAAGAAAATACAAGAGTGCAGTCATGAGGTTAAAAAAAAAAAACATTTGGTATACCTGGACCCCCCCCCCACACACACACACACACACATATGTGTTGAGAGCGGCCGGTTCTGAGCAGTTGGTAAAGGGGTTACCTTGTTCACAAAGTCTTTATTGCCAGGATAGTAGGTGGTGACGATTGAAAAAATGTACCAGTCGTACTCCTCCATAATGTTCAACATGACAGACGCCTGCTGCTCGATGGACGGACCGAACTGGAAGAACATGGAGTTGTCATCCTGAGATGGAAAAGGGAAAGAAGACAAGACAGGAACGTTCGGGTTAGCGATGTGAGCCCCGCCCGCTCGGACTGGACGTGGGAAGCGGTGGGGGGGGGGGGGGGAGTCTGCACACCCTGGCAAACCTGCACTTGCACAGGAGCTTCGAGTTTATTTCGGGTGAGAATTAGTCTATTGGTGTATCAGACTGCGCTTCTGACAGTCAGGGAGAGGACCAGAATGTCTTTGGCTTAGGACAATGTGCCTCGTTCGACATCAAAGATCTTCCCCACTGGGGACAGGGTTGGGTCGACCTGTTACCTTGTTTCTGCATTAATGAGACTGGGAGATACCAATTAAATGGCATGGGCGGGGGAGTGGCACAGGTTAGTGTGAAACATTAATGCACATTAGCACATTAGCTCTGGCCTTCACAGCCTGTAGAGTCTCACTTCCTCTCTCTCACGATGCCCTCATTTCTCCCCCTTAACCTCCTCGCCCGCCCCTTTGACCCCTGGTCCACCTGGAGTTCTTCTCCCTGCCACTGCCTCTCATGGCACTCCACTCCCTGTCCCTGGCCTATTTATTCTACTGAAATTACTGCCAGGACACAAATATAATTGAATTCCCAGGTCTGCCCCCCCCCCACCGTCCCCCCCTAAAAGGAGCAGCGCTGAGGTGTTCTGCTCGGCCCGGTCACTTTGTGAGCTCGACATCTCCATTATCTAATTAAAACACAAACAGCAGCACCGCTGAAGCCCTGTGTCCAATTCCCGTCCCTGTAATCCCTTGCCAGGGCGCCCGGGTGTCCCGAGGACCGGCGCCATCGATCGGGAGTGGCGGGCTCTCGTGTATGAGAGCCACCCGCATCCTGGAAATATTCTAGAAGCTTTTTTTTAAGCTGCTGTGACCCCTTATCAGAGTGACGGCGCATGGATGGCGCACATGGATGGCGCAGTGCTCCGTGCGACCCAAACCCAGAGAAGTGTGAAAGAGGCATCAGAAAGGAAAGGCAGGAACCGCAGCTGAGAGCTGGTCCAGTGACTGCAGCTTATGCTGCATTCCAGTTGCCCTCGGAACTCGGATCCCGGGTCGGATTCCGAGTTTTGAAGCCGGAAGTGACGACATATGCGCTCCCGTTTCTCGGAGATCCGAGAAATATCTCGGATAACGCAGAAGATCCCGAGTTCAGAATCCAAGATGGCTGCGTCCTTTATCAACAGAAGGGAAAGTTTTAACCTGTTTAAGCACTACTTCTCATTTGTGGCTCATTAAATCGGTCGCACACACTATACCGTCCAACTTATCTGTGGACGTGTTGCTACGGAGTTTTATACGTCAAGCACCGCGCGTAATGTGTTATCAAGTGATATTGCTAACAATGGCTACAAATTAACCGGGCTTGAATTAGATTTCATGATTAGTCGGATTATTTGTCGGATTAACGTAGTTCGGGCTAATTGTAAATGGACGAAGATAAAGGCCATTTAAACTGAGGTACCGTAAATCCGACAAGTTGTCCGGCTAAGCAAAAAATCTTGCTTTTTCATATGGATCCATGGTATTGCTACTTCTGTGGCAAATGGAACGCATCCGACTCGGTTTTCCCGAGTTTTTAGCGGATGTGATGTAATCTCGGAATTCGAAAATCGGATCCCGAGGCAAATGGAATGCAGCATCAGTTCTGATGTCAGGGGTCCTGTCACATAGGGCTGTGTGGACCAAAGAAGAGGGCCATGATTTCAGTGATGACCTCAAAAACATAAACGCGGAAAGGCTGCATGCGTCTCTGATGCACACGAAGGATCGACTCTTATCCTCCCGTGTTCGTGTGAGGTTCGTGCTGTTTGTGTTTTAATTTACTGAGTGCCGGTTCGTCCCCTGAAACACGCTCCCTGCTTCTTCCACACATGGGAATGTAAGCGATTTCAGAAACATTTTGGCATTGCGCACATTTCCCGTGCCAAGCAGGCTCATCTGGAACCCGCATACAGGTCAGAAGGAGGGCGCTGTGCTGCCAGCGAGGGGGGAGTGTTAGGGGCGGGGAAAGGGGAGTGGCAGCAGGACACAACACACATACATGCGATATTGACGCACACATACAAACACAAATGGGTGCAATAAAGACACAATGAGATACAAATTTAGAAACCAATTTGTGAAACATCAAACATGTCAGTCATCACTCAACGGAGCACAATAAAACACCAACAAGTGAACACAAGAAAACCATCTATCTATTTATCCATCTGTCTATTTCCTGCTTCTACTTCCTGCCTCATTTTTAAGTGCCATGAAGAAAAAACTAACCTTTAATCAAACACACACAGACTTAATTAGTTCACACATTTGTCAGGTCATCATCTAATTAGCAGTGACCTTATTTCACATTTAAAAGATGAATTTAAAATCCTGGTCCGTAATTAAAATATTTGGTCAATTTAGCCCCTAACTTGATTATCATGAGCAGATCATAAAGCAGGTGATGGCTTTTTTAGTGAGTGCGGGACTTTTCTCCCACTCCCGGCATGACTGCCCCCAGCCACAAACCAGGTGAAGGGGTCTCCTTGCTAAACCGTTGTTGTTTTATACTCTAATTGCTGTTACCACCAAGAGTCCAGCTGCTTCAGAAAGCACTAGAATCCTGCGACCTCTCCTCATGCCACCATGTTACACCCTGCCTGGGTCGTCAGTAATTTAGGTGGCAATAAAGCTAATTTAGAAGGATGAAAATGGGGAGTGTGTGGGGTTATTATACCTGCGATGGGATCATGCATCAGCCGCCACTCATCACACCGAGCTGGTTTCATTTATGTAGTTTCATTCATCACTCATTCGTCCCACAAGGATGCAAACCCACACAATAATTACACAGGAATAGGAAACCCACACAGTCATCACACAGGAACGGCAAACCCACACAGTCACTACACAGGAACAGGAGACCCACACAGTCATCACAAAAGAACGGGAAACCCACACAGTCATCACACAAGAATGGGAAACCCACACAGTCATCACACAGGAACAATGAACTCACAGGCATCACATTGAAACAGGAAACCTACACAGTCATCACACAGGAACGGGAAACTCACACAGTCATCACACAGCAATGGGAAACCCACACTGTCATTACACAGGAACAGGAACTTCACAGTTATCAAAAAGGAACCATAAACCAAGCCCCCATCTGTGCTCCACAACCCACTAATCTGACCCCCATCCACATTCTTCTTGTGTTTGCACACAAAACAGTTAGTATCCCCATTCAACACAGGACCCCAATTTACAGGGCTGCCAGTCTCGGCCCCCTCCACTTCACAATCACACTTCTTCTCCTAACACTACTCTGTGGATGACAACCAGCTCTGCCTATTCTTCCCTCAGGTATCCACACGCCTTGCTGACATCACAGCCCTGATGAGGAATCCCCATCTCCATCTGAATCTTTCAAAGATAGAGCTTCTTTTCTACCCTGCCAAGCCTACCAATCACCATGACAACACTGCATAACTTGGATCCGACACTGTCTCCATCAAGGTCTGCCAGGAACCTAGGGATAATGATAAATGACCAACTATCCTTACTGATCACATAGCAGCTATCTCCTGGTCACAGATTCACTCTGTATAATATCAGAAAGCTTAGACCTTATTTATCAGAATATGCAGCTCAGCACCTAGTCCAGGTACTGTACTTTCCATCTCTCGACTGGACTACTGTAACACTTTACCAACAGGGCTGCCAGCATGTGCTGTGAAACCACCACGGATGATTGAAAATGCAGCAGCATGTATTCAATCAGCCGAAATGCTCTCATGTTACACCTCTCCATCTCTTTTCATCGGCTTCCTTTAGGCATTTGCATCAAGTTCAAGTCCGAGGTCCTTGCTTTCAGAGTTGTTAATGGAACAGCCCCTACCTACACTAAACAGACCTGCATCCCATCTCAATCTCGTCAGTGAGCAAGTCAACTCTACCTAGTGTTCCCTTCATCATATAATAATAACTCTAGATATATCTCATGTGCGGTTCCTCGATGGAAGAATGGGCCAACCATCCACGTCAAGAGTCCCTCTCAACCTCCAAGAACTGTCTCAAGAACCACCTTTTCTAGGATTAACTCAATCAACTCTCCCACTTACTGACCTTCACCAGCTGTCCTTGGCTCATGGTTCCTTGGCAACACTGGATGCTCTTTTACCAACTCGTCCTCATGGTGTATGAATTTGACTAGTTTTTCTAATGCTGGGTTCTAACAATCTCTAGTTCAACTCGCGCTCCAATTCTCACTGGTCACTCACTGGAAGCTTGGCACAGTTGCCTCCTTGACAGTTGTATGCTCTTTGAAGCTGTATCTGCTTCACTTTGGACATAAGCATCTGCTAAATGAATGTAACTGTAGATGCATCCTGCAGCTTCCTCACCCAAGACTGACCCATTTGCCTGGCAGTGTGACTCGTGGCACCTACATGCCGGGAGGGACCCCCTTTTCCCCGGCTCTCTGTGTCATACAGCACCAGACAGCGCCAGGCTCTTCTGAGCTAAAGGATCCCGCTCGCCATTTGTCAGGGTTGACAGAGAGAAGCAAATTCACAACTAAAGAGACCGCAGATGTCCAAAGTAAAGCTTTCATAGGATCCTTATCGCCTCCATGAACGAAAAAAAGGGGATTTTGTTGGCAGAAGCTGGGAAAAATGTAGACACAGAAGGCAGGACAGACATTTCTAACCCACCCACCCCGTCCAACCCGTGACCCGCTGCAGCTGGGGTGTGCGGACACTCTCCGGCACCACTCGACTCACACTGTGACTCAGTGCAGCCCTTGGCGTCCATTGCCATGCTTCCGGCCCGTGTCACTGAGAGAAACGCTGGTCCGTGGGCTGCCTGAGTGCTACGGATTCAGGTGGGCTTTTTTTTTTTTTTTTTTTTAACAGACACCAGCTGTTAAGAGCTGTGCGCTGAAATCTGTTACCGGATAAAACATAAATCCCTCACGCCGCTCTCACACTCTGATT